ATCGATACACACATACACACAAATATCTGCATTATTTAAGAATATTATTATTATTATTATTATTATTATTACTTTTAACAGTTTTATAATGTAAAGTATAACGAAATAAAGAAATTAAAAATAATAAAATAAAAATAAAAATAAAAATGCAATTATTGAATCTGAAATAAACAATTAACAAGAAAATAAATAAAAATATAAAAATATTAAAGTTTTAATAATTACATTAAATAAATTAAATTAATATAAAAAACAAAACAAAACAAAACAAAACAAAATAAACCTTTTGATTTGTTATAATTACTTTTTTTTAAAAAAAAAAATAAATAACAAGAAAAAAATAATATTAATTTATTTATTTCTAAAAATTTAAATAATTATTTATTTATTATTATTTTCCCACCCAAATAAAAAAAATACTAATAAATTTAGAAATTTAATCCAATTCAATTTGTTGGATTTAAATATTTGAGGGTTAACTAAATGTTTTGATTGTGCATATATTTTCCCAAATGGAAATTAAAATAAAACAAATATAAAACTATAAATACATTTGTATGTGTTCAAAATTAAACATTTGTATAAATAAACACAAACATTTTGTATGAGTGGTAGTGTGTGTGTGTGTCTGTGTATGTTGCTTTTTTATTTATAGTAATTTTTTTTTATGTGGGCTGTTTGCATGTAAATCCTGTGTGTCTTTGTTTTTAAAGTGTGTGTTAAGAGTGGGTGTATTTATAAATTATTTAATAAACAATAGATAAAAATAAATAAATCTTTAAATAAATAAACATGTTTGATAAACGATTTAAAAAATTATATTTTGCACGTATGTTATTGTTGTTCCGATTGTAAACAAAAAAAATAAATACCATTTATTAAATAGCATCATTATATATTGTTTTAGATTTGGGTTTATTATTTATTTATTTATGAACATGTAAAGAAAGTTTTTACAATGATATAAGGGTAGTATTATCGTCATAGATGATTGAATATAACAAATTTGTGAAACATTATTCAAAAACTTTTATTTTTAGATTATACATTTTTATTATATTATTAATTTTTTTGTATGTGTACAATTAAAAAATATAGCTTTAAATTTATTATTACTATTATTACTATAACTATTATAATATGAATAACTATTACATCTAATTTATAATATGAATATTAAAAACATAAGTCCATTATATAGTACAAATATATAAAATATTATTACTATGTTATTATTACCATTTAAACTAACGATATAAAATAAAATTAATAAATTATATTTTTTTTTTTTTTTTTTGTTTTGTTTGTTTTATTGTGTTATTTTAGTTTCAATTCGAAAAAAACAGTCGTTTTTTCAAATCTCCCCAGTGGATTAATGTAAATCAGTTAATTATTTTTTTTATTTTTTTTTTAATAATTTTAAATAACTGTGTTTTATGACCAAAAAATAATTTTATTTTTTTTTATTTTTTTTTTCTTAATTTTTTTTTATTTTTTTTCGTTTTTTATTATTTTTTTTAATTTTCATTTAATTTCATTTTAGACTTAAAATGAAATTAAAAATTACTTATAATAATAATCTATCTATTACCACACTTAATTTATTAAAAAATTGTAACAATAGGTTACTAATTAGAAATTATTCATATAAAATACCAGAGTCAGATGATATTAAAAATGATATTAAATATAATCAAATAAATAAACCAAAAACTAAAAAAAAAAATGAAAATGAAAATTTAAATGATAGCAATAATAAAAACAATGGCAATATTAATATAAAAAGTAATAATAATAGTTTCACATTCGATAAAAATTTTACGACTGAAGATAGAGTTAAATTATTATCAATGTATAAAAAAAATAAAATTTCATTAAAAAAGAACACTAGAGTAGTTATAGAAACTCAAGTAGAAAAAGAGATTGTTATGGGTAATGAGGTAGATTCAAATAATCCAATGTATAAAGATTCGTTTGAATCGTTTAAAAGTTTTCAAGAGGGAAAAAAAGAAAATATTAATGTCGATCAACAGGAGCTACCATCAATAAAAAACCACAATCAAGAAATTTTAGATTACAATCAAGATAGATTTAATTTTAAAAAAATAAAACCAATGAGGGGTGATATAGTGTTGTTTATCTCATCAGATACAGGCGACTCAACAATGGGTTATTTAGAAGAGTCTAAAGATGGCATTTATTCAACTAAATTAAAGAACTATTTGGAACCAGCAATTCTTACCGATGGTAAAATACAGATGATACTCCCAACATCATACTTAAGAGATAACGTTAGCGGATTAGTGCAAGGCCTAATGGACTCTTTAGTGGAATTATCAAAGTTTTACAATATTCAAATATCAGAACTAAATAAAATTAAAATAAAACTATTTAAAGAGAATATTAACTTTTTAATAAACTCAACAAAAATGTATAAAACTCTCGACGAAAAGGAAGCTGCCGGCGTAAAAGTTCTCAGCCATTTTACAAATCTCAACAAGAATCCATATAGTGCATTAATCGAAATATTGGATATTTTTAATCAACTATTTGTACACAAGAGCGATCATTTCAAAGTTTTATCACAAATTTTATATAGAGAGTTTTCAGAAAGAACTAAAGTTAACTCTGTTGACAAAGATGGTAATTTATGGACTAATAATCAAAATAGATTCGAATCTGTAGAAATTAAAGAAGCTATAAAATACCTTTTTTCAAAACCAGTCAACAGCAGTGGCGAAAGTAAAAAGTTTTCAAGTCTTTTTTGGAGCGATGCAATTCACTCCTTTTTTACCATCAAGGCAATTCAATACTTTGACTGTTTCGAAATGGAAAGAGAATCATTCTATTGTTTCACCAAAGATTATTTAGATGGATATAAAAAAGAAATTGATTACCTTTTAGATCCAGATAATCAAACCGACCTCAAAATATTTTTAAAATACTCACTAAAAATTTTAAATAACACTTTGAATGATAGTAATTGGAAACCAAATTTAATAATTTTACATGATGCAAAGATTCCAAATTATAATCCAAATAAAGAAAATGAAAAATTAGAAAGATCATTTAGAATTTTTATAAAATTATTAAAAAGGTTTGTATTATATATTTTTTAAAAAAAAAAAAAAAAAAAAAACCCTATAACTTACTTTTTTTTTTATTAAATAAAAATATTTAGATGTTTGGTTTCATTTAATGAAAAGGAAAATAGTGGTATCATTAAGAGGAATATTTGTTCACTTCTTAGAATCGACAATGCAAATCAATTAAAGTTTTTATTGGTTGGTCTTAAAGAATCTCAACAACACGATATCATATTGGACCTAAAAGAAAGAATCAATGGAAATAAATTTATTGAATTACCAAAACAAAAATTAATGAAAATGATTGAGAGCGATAGGTCATCAAGTAATACAAGTTTATTAGATTTTGGTAATAGTAGAAAGACTATAGATTCAAAATCATATACAATTGATTCAATTACAACAAAGGATGTCGATGATGCAGTTGGCATTATTAAAGAGGAAAATGGTGATTATATAGTTGTGGTTCATATATCTGATGTTACAGATTCCGTTAAACCCTTTAGTCAGTTATACGAATGGGCAAAATATCAATCATCATCCATTTATTTACCAAACTCAACTCATTTTATGTTACCAAATTTCATCAGTGATCAAAGTAGTTTAGAACCAAATAAAGAAAACAGATGTCTATCCTATCAATTTAGAGTTAATGAAAAAGGACAAATTACAGATTATTCAATTTTCCCATCACTTGTAAAAAATATTGTAAAAACAAATTATGACAAAGTTACCAACTCTATAAATTCTTTTAATGGCATCAATAGTGGCTCTAGCGATATTCATTCGAATGAAGAAACCGAAGAGTTAAATCAATTATTTAAAATTGCATCAAAATTAAAGAAAAATAGAGAACTAAAAGGTGTTTCAATTGTTAATCTACCAAAATCTAAAGTTGTATATAATGAAGAGGCTAAAAAATATGAACTCGCCGAAGAGGATAGTGGCACCTTATCCCATACTTTAGTATCAGAACTTATGATTGCCACCAATTGGATATCATCAGATTTTTGCATTAAAAATAATTTACCAATTCCATTTAGAGGACAAAGTGAACCAGACTTTAATGCAAACTTGGAACATCTATCAAAACTTCATCCAATTGCAGGATCTCATTTATTATTAAGACAATTTAAAAAGGGTGTTTTGGATCATAATAATATAGGTCATTATTCATTAGGTTTAAATAGTTATACATGGTCAACTTCACCAATTCGTCGTTTCTCAGATATGTTGGTTCACACACAAATTAAAAACTATCTTTTAGAAAAGCAGCCACTACTCAACACTGAATATTTAGAAAGAACATTACCATATGTACAAAAGAATTTAGAATCAATTAAAGATTTCCAAAGAAAATATGAAAAAGAAATTTTAAATAGAATTTTAAAGATGCAAGGTTTCAATAAATTATATCGTGCAGTTAAATTATCAAAAACAACATTTGGTAATAAATCGGTTGTCAAATTTTTACTATTGGACCATGGTTTATTAAGTATAACACTTCAAGTAGACAATTACCAAGGAGAACTAGACGATAAAATTTATTTATTAGAAGCCAAACCCAATCATAGAAATATATTTAGATTTGAAATTGTAAAAGAACAATAAAGCAATATGTTTTTTTTTTTTTTTTTTTTTTTTAAATTAATAATATAATAACTTATTTATTTATTTTTTTATTTTTATGGAATTAAAATCATTGTATCTGAATCATTTGGTTTTTTAATATATGCTAAAAGTTTTTCACCAAATAAGTCGAAAAGTGATTGATATTGAATTTTGAGAGTTTTTAAAATATTTTCTCTGGAGAATTCTGTAAAGATTGGTATTGAAGTTGGTTTTTCGCCAGATTGTAAAGTTTTGCCATCTTTTAAATCTAAAACTGATAATATATTTTCACCTTCTGAAACCCAAGATAAAAATTTTCCAGTTGCTTCAATAATTGCGTTTAACACCTTGTTTGCCTCCATTGATTTTAGTGGATTTGAGTTGTTGTTTAATTCTGGTTCTAATAATTTATAGTATGTTGAAATATATGGTAATAATAAAAATTGAATAACGTTTTTGCCTAAACCTGAAAGACCTACTACTGCACCATAATGAGTTGTTAGTGGTTTTGTTGTATCGTGTAATGTTTGTACAAGTGTTTTTGTGATTCTTGATTGTAATGAGCTATATGAATCTCCAAATTTTCTACAAATAAATGTTACTAACTGTGCTGAGAAATCTCTAAGTTCCCAATGATTATCCATGGGTGATGTGCATAACTTTTTACCAACTAAACAAGTTAAAATTGGTGGCATTAATTGATGTAACTAAAATTAAAAAATGATGCATACTGTTATTAAAATTTGTTATAGAAACTGAGAAAAAAATTTTAAATGTTAACTTACATATAGTTCGGGTTTTAAATGTTTACTTTCTAAAATTGCTTGGGACATTTTCATTAATTTCATTAATAGGTTTAAGTTTGTTAAATTTTGAGTAACTTGAACAGAGATAAAATTTATAAAGTATGGTAATAATTGATGAAGACTAGAATCATTTTTAAGACTATGAATTGCAGCATTGAATAGTTTTTGATTATCGCCTTTAATAGAGTTTGTAATTTTTTCATAAAACATTTGAATTTCTTTTGAAAGTATGTGTTTGACGGTTGGTTTAACGACAGTGGTTGTAACACTTGGCAGGGTATGAATACCGGGTATAGATGGTTCTTGCTTTTGTTGTTGTGTTGCTATATTTGGTTTTGATAGAATATTGTTTGTTGAAGGTGGAACGTTGGTACCATTTGCAGTATTTGAAGATGAAGCAGCAAGCTGATTTGCCTTTTCGCTTTTGAATTTTTTATTTAAATTTTTAAAATGTTCTTCAATTTCGTAAGGTGATGGATTTTGAGGGATTAATGGTTGAACGCCTTCTAAAGCTAACCAATGTGCTGATAATGTTGGTTCACGTGGTACCTTTGGTAATGGCTGATTCATTACCTCTTGAAATGTCAACTCTTTATCATTTAAATAATAGATTGCCTGTGTTGAAGTTGTTGTTTTTTGAAATTTTAATAAAGAGTTGTCACTAACACAACTATTATATCCATAAAGTACTTCAACATTTTTTAATCCTAATGCATTGTTTATATCATCACATGACAAATGATCCCTCTTTGAATGCTTCATAAATTTAATTGCTTCTTGTGCAATTTCTCTAATTCTATATTCAACATCTGATGCTAATTGTGATGCTATTTCATCTGGTAAATTCGAAATACCTGCACTTTCTGCTATAATTTTAATTGTATCATTTGGTAAAACCGACATTTATTTACTTTATTAATATAAATAAAAAAAATAAAAATCTATTTATATTTCACTTATTTACAATATTTTTTTATTAAATAAAAAAAATAAAATGATGTTTAATTTACAATTTTAAATAAAAATAAAAAAAATGAAAAAAAAAAATAAAAATAAATTTAAAAAAAATTAAAAAAAAATAAATTTAAAAAAAATTTTAAATTTTTAAAAAAAATAAAATAAAAAAAAAAAGACTATTTATTCTTAAAAGAATAAGGGAATCAAGATAATTTGGATTAATATTTTTTAAAAAAAACTAAAAATTAAATTTTTATTAATGTTTTTGCTAAACATATAATTTTTTTATTATTTTTTATATTATTTATTATTATTATTATTATTATTGTTATTATTATATTATTATTATTATTATTTATTATTTATTATTTATTATTTATTATTAGCATATATTTATTTAAAAGATTTTTATTTTTTATTTTATTTTTTTTTTTTTTTTTTTTTTTTATTTCTTTTTATCTGATTGATCTAATTGTTGGTTCAACTGGAGTATTATTTCTTGGTGAAGGTTTTACAGTTAAATTGAAGGCAGGTGGGAGAAAAGTGGCCATTGGTTTATTATCACTACTAGATTTTGAAGTTTTCTAAAATAAAAATAAAAAAATTAATATCTATATGAGTATTATAAAATTTACTTATTCTATAGTTACTTTAAATACATGAGTAATATCTCTTAATGGTACCCTTTTTTTATTTGATTTATTTGAGAGATTATGTGAAACATTTGAGCAAAATCCAGTTAGAGGATCGATGTTTTCTTTATTGCTTTCAAATTCATCAAAAATTATAAATGATTGACAAGACATGTTTATATATAAATTATTAATTATTATTATTATTATAGACGCAAACTATTATATTATAAACAAAAAGTTTTACACAAATTTTTTGTTGTTTTTATTATTATTATTATTGATTATTTTTTTATGGAAAAAAAATTACTTATACCTTTATTACTACTATGAATTAACACAAGCAATACAAAAACAAACAAATTTATTAATTACAAATACAACACACAACACAAACTATTACTATTATTACTGATCAAACAAACTGACAAAACACAATACAAAAAACACAAACACACAAAAAAAAAAAAAAACTTGAACTGAGTTAATTTTCAAGTTTTAAAGCATCTATTATTTAATTTATAAAAAAATAAATATTAATGGTATTTTATTTTGATTATTTTTTAAATAAACAAATAAAAAATTTTTTATAAATTAAATAGAAAAAAGAAAAGAAAAAAAGAATTAGTAAAAAAATTTCTTTTTTTTTTTTTTAATATGGCTATACTATTAATAATTAAATCAACAATATATAATTTCCAAAAAAGAAAGTAAAAAAAAAAAAAAATAATTACAAAAAAAAAAATTCTATTTATTTATTTTTTTTAAAAAAAAAAAAAAAAAAAAATTAAATAAAATCAAAATATTAAAATTATTATTATTACTCCACTATTATTATGCTAACAGCCATTTATTAAAACTGTTACTGTTGGTGGGTGAATTAAAAATTATGAGCGCTCATTTTAAACTAAAAACCATAGATATAATATTTGAATTTACACCAATAATAAAAAAATAATATTAAAAATAAAAAAAAAATTAAAAAAAAAAAAAAAGTTTATTGACTCTTTGACTCCACACAGATTCCCCCATAATCAACTTAAAAAAAAAATATATACCCCCTCAATGAATTTGACAAGTTTTTGTTGAAAATTTTCACCATAGTAGTACATATG